GAAAAACCCGAAGACTCGAGCGATGAACTAATCAATTCGATTTCTGGCTCAGACTGCATTGGTTAAGTGTATGGGGCTGTCACGTGATGAACAAATGACTCGAAAAACCCGAAGACTCGAGCGATGAACTAATCAATTCTCTTTCCGGCTCAGACTGCATTGGTTAAGTGTATGGGGCTGTCACGTGATGAACAAATGACTCGAAAAACCCGAAGACTCGAGCGATGAACTAATCAATTCGATTTCTGGCTCAGACTGCATTGGTTAAGTGTATGAGGCTGTCACGTGATGAACAAATGACTCGGAAAAACCCGAAGACTCAAAGCAGGTGAACTATTTGACTAATTCCAGTACAGAACCTATAGGATGTTGCGCATGCGCGACTGAACGAATCACTCCCCGAGATGACTCGTTCTTCCCGAGTCACATTAAAGATTTGTTCAAAATGAACGAATCGTTCAAGAACGACCCAACACTATTTCCCAGTCACTTTGACTGTTTGGTGGCCAGCAGCTTCACACTATGTCACACAAATATTGTATGAATGAATGCACTGCACTATAATAGAATAGCACTATGAAATCTGTAGAAATAGGATGGCATGTAACTGATATTTTAGTTCATTCCATTTGGAAATGTAATAAGTGGTAGAAGTGCCAACTCCTTGACACCAGGTACAGTAACTTGTAACTGCAGTACAGAGGCTCTGATATCTACCATATGGCTACTGTGTTTCTGTTAAATACTGACTGCTGTAGGGCATAATGGCCTTTATTCATTTATTTTTTTTAGATGCATTTCCTTAATTCAGCACTGTAAAGAGAATGTCTGGTAAGTTTGTGGGGCGCAAAAGAATTTTGAATCTACAAATTGCACTCACATAGAGGAAAGTATGTATACATATATGTAATATGAATTATATGAATTAAAACATTAAAATGTCATTGTAAATACTGTGCAGATTCTTTGCCAATATGATAAATTAAAACAATCCCACAATGCACTGAGACATGATTACTGAAAAAAAATCAACCAATACGGTGGATAGAGTTGACAGAAATAATCTAAATATATAAATATATTTAATTCAGTACTGAAAATTATCAATAAAAATAGTTCAAGCTAATTAAACTGGACTGTTTTACCAATGTTCTATTTAAGTTCAGATGATGAAATGAAGATTAGTAGAATGAGGCCCAAAACATTTAAGAAAATGTTCTTGTTTTACTCATTTTGACAGTTTTTTGACTATAAATTGACAGTATTTATAGTATTTTTTTAAATTTATTGTCTCAAAATTATTCATATTTTTAAATATTTTATATAAAATGGGAACATTATAGGCCTATGTAAAATTCACTTTAAAGAAGATTTTTTAGTGAAAGTGAAGTGATGTGTGGCCAAGTTGGGTGACAGAATTTGTGCTCTGCATTTAACCCATCCAAGTGCACACACACCGTGAACACACCCGGAGCATTGGGTAGCCATTTTTTGCTGCTTTGCCCAGGGAGCAGTTGGGGGTTTGGTGCCTTGCTCAAGGGTCTCACCTCAGTTGTGGTATTGAGGGTGGAAGAGAGCGCTGGTTATTCACTCCCCCCCACTGACAATTCCTGCCGGACCTGAAACTCGAACCTGCAACCTTCAAGTTACAAGTCTGACTCTCTAACCATTAGACCACTACTGCACCAATTTTATTATTATTATTATTATTAATTATTATTATTCATAAAGAAAATTCATAGATATTGTCCTATGCTTCAGTGGAAGATTTCTGACACCTGTTGAAAAACACTTTAAAGGGGACATCGGGTGAAATTATCACTTCTTTTTTTTTGCATTTAGTTAGGTTTCTGGCATGTCTGCCAGTTCAGAAAAGCTGAAATGAAAACACGCAGCCAGTTCGTTATGGGCTGCACGAGTCTGAAACGGTATCATCCAGTGGCCTGTTTGAGTTTGCAGCTGGTTTCTGTGTAGATAGCTAGCTATTTGAATAAAACCACCTCTGAGCCATATACAGAGTGTCGACCTGACCAACGGAAGAAAGGGGTGGGGTGAGCAGTAGCTCGTTATCAAGAGACAAGCACTGATACGGGTCGCTGTGAACAGAGGTGCTTTTGGCAAGGTGAAGAGGGTGTTGTTTTACATGACAATTGAGGAATTTTAACCTAAAATATATTACAGACATTTCATGAAGACCCTAAACAATCATACCAACTTGTGAAAAATGGAAAAAGAGCACGCGCAAGCGTCGTGGTATTCTCGATAATGGCGTTAGATGGTAACTCCGGGGAGAAGAATTGTTGAATTAACTCGTTGCTTTTGTTTTTTTGCACACAAAAAGAATTATCATAGCTTCATAAAATTACGGTTGAGCCACTGATGTCAAATGGACTATTTTGTCGATGTTCTTGGTAACTTTCTGGGCCTTGAACATGGTAGTTACCTTGCTGTCTATGGAGGGTCAGAAAG